ACCCGGGTCCCCTGCCCCGGGCAGGGAGGACGGCGGGCCACCCCCGCGATGGCCGGGCCGGGGAAAAGACTGTTTCCCCCTACTGAACTCGTTCTGCCAACAGCCGCTAACTCCTCCCGCCAACGTCTTTTGCGCGGCCCGCTCCTGAGAACCTTGGCTCGGGAGAGCGACGCGGGGCGCCCCGCCACGCCGGCCCGAGGGCGCGGCTCGCTCCCTTTCCCCCTGCCCACACACCTACGCTTCTCCCCGACATCGGCGGGCTGGGGGGCGGCGGCGACGGCCATGGGGCCCCAGCTGGGACCCTCCCGGGGCCTCCTCGTCCTCGGCGGCGGCGGCGGGGTCCTCCGACCTTGGGTGGGGCTGGGGGGACGGCATTGCGCACCACCGGTGGGCGGGCCCCTGGCTGACCCCCGATCCCCAGCTCCTGTGGCCAAGCCAGGCGGGAGAGGAGGTTTGGGGGTCCCCCCGCCCTGCCCCCTCCCACCCCCCCAACTCCGGACGGGTTGCTGCTGCTAGATGGTTGTGAAGTCAATCCGCGGACGCCTCGATTGTGGTCCAGGAAGAGGAAGGAACGCGGGCTGCAGCGATGGGGCTTGGGACGTTGACGGGGAGACCCGGGGCCGAAGTTCGGAATTGGGAGCGGGCCACGCGAGAAGAGGGCCCTGGGTTAGAGCGGAGGGTATACCGCTAGGGAAGGAAAGAGGAGGAAAGAGGACTTCCATACAGGGTACTCCTGGAATCCATGAAGCTCTGGCCTCTAGAGATGACTGGCAACTGACCGGCGAGCTGCAAGAATCCAACGCATGATTGGAAAATGTTATGTACATGTAACACACGCACGCACGCACACACACATTGCTAGCTTAGTCTGCCACTGCATCTGCTAAAAACAACAAAAGAAAAGAAAAATCCCTGAATCCCCAGGCCATTGAAATGGATATCACCATTCAACTAGCTAGCACTATTTCCCTAAGCGTGCATGATTAATATTTCCACCAGAAAACGGGGCAGGGGTGGGAATATGAGTATTCTAACGTAAGTGTGGATTGAAAGCCATCGATTGAGTCTCATTAACAAGACATTGGCAAGCATCAGTGCTGCTCAGGCAAATTATTGACACTGAATCTGTGCTCCCACATATGGTGGGGGGAGCTTTTCGTGGCACCCTATTCCTGTGCCTTAAAATACCAAGGCAGCGGAGAAACGGCAGCATCTCTGCTGAGGCTGCAAACAAGTCAATCAGGACCTCAGAACCTGAGGTGCTGTTTTGCCAGGTGACTATCAGGAGAGGTATGGTCTCTTACCCCACCTCCAATCCCCCCAACTGGAGCCTTTCCCTATTAAGACTTCAAGGGATGCTGAAGATCTTAGCAGTTAGCTACATCTGAGACTGGCAGCAAGAAAAAGGGACAAGATGTATTCTGGAGACTATATGTTTTTTGTTCAATGGCTGATACAGGGACTTCCAGTCAGTATACTGTACACCTCAGTACCTGGGCACTGTCCTTGCTTTAGCTTTCCCCCCTCAAGGCTGGCCCTCTAGCAATCACTTAAGTCACTGTGGCTTTTTGGTGGTTAATTGGAGATATGAATGTCAGACTTTCCTGCATACACTAACTTTGAACCTTGATCCTCAGGTCTCAGCACCCTGAGTAGGATTACAGGGGTGAACCACAAGCACATGGCATGTTCTTTTCAATCTGGTCTCCTCAGACAAAAAGGTCAGGACAGAGTTTGCTTCTGGAGACTGTAGACTGGATCGTTTTTCCTAAGACAGAAGTTTAAGAAGAGGATGAGTGTGAAAGAAGGAAAGGAGAGGGAGGGACCTGGACTCCTTCAAAGGTAATTCTTTGGAGTTGAGTGTTCTGACTCAAATCTAGTTAAGGCTGTAATACTAAGGCTGTAATATCTACTTAGCTGTGTTTAGCGAGGGAGAATGGCTGTTTTTTGGGGGGAGGGGAGGGTCCGGTCGTGGGACCTGAACTCTGGGCCTGGGCATTGTCCCTCAGCTCTTCAGCTCAAGGCTAGTGCTCTACCACTTGAGCCACAGCGCCACTTCCGGCTTTTTTCTTTTTGCTTATGTGGTGCTGAGGAATCGAACCCAGGGCTTCAGGCATGCAAGGCAAGCACTCTACCACTGAGCCACCTTCCCAGCCCCGGCTTTTTTTTTTTTTAAAGAAACAGGACTCAGACTGTTTCTTAGATTCTTTTCTACTGCTTCCTCTCATCTGAATAGCTGTGGACAATTTAGTCTTAGAACATAAATAGTATTATTGCCATTAATACAATTTTTCTTTCTTCTCCATTCACTTTACTAGACTGGGAAAAGGGAGCTTATTATATAGTTTGATTGTTTTCTTTCTGTGCTTCCTTAAAAGGCCACATTAAATCATAATATTCTGTATTTTAAACTGGAAAAGGAGATGAACTGATATCTACATGTATTCATCGTCTGTAAATTCAGATACTGCATATAATAAGCAATAATTATGACTTCCCTGGCTTTGAAAATCTTGACTCAATATTGTGGTTCAACAAATAATGATTTTTATGGCTTTTAAAACAATTCAACTGATGAGTAGATGTACAGGTTTTAATTTTTAATAAGCCCATGCGTGGTGCATGCCTGTAATTAGAGCTACTTAGGAAGCTGAAGTAGCAGAATCCCTTAAACCCAGGAATTTGAAAACAGTCTAGGCAATATAGGCAGGCTTCAGCTTTCAAAATATCCAAAACTTTGACCTTAGAATTAACAAGAGCAGAGGGAACAGAAAGTACTTTCTTACAGTTACATTGCTATGTGTAATAATTTTTTTTGTCATTCTAAGGATTGAGCTCCAGACTTTGCATGTGCTATGCAAGTGCATTTGAGCTACATGCACAGCCACTGTATTTTTAAATCCTCTATGTCCTATATATGCTGTCTAATTACTAATAAATTATATTAAAATGTAAACAGATCTGATTATAATAGTTCATACCTATAACCCCAGCATATGTGAAGCTGGGATAGAAGCTACAGAGCAAGTTCAAGACCAGCCTGGCCTGTAACACAACACTTGCCTCAAAAAAAAAATAAATAATGCATTTAGGTAAAGACAACTTTCTGTAATGCAACTTGAATGCTAATATAATCATCTTAACTGAAAACATTACTTGATTAGCACTTCTTTCCCAATACTGATCCCCAGTGCTCAGCTAGCTTTGGCTATGGAATTAATTCCCATAATAAGGATGACAGCTGAATTCTTTACTAGAGATTTGTAAAACCCAAAAGTCTTAGTAAAACTGACTCTACCCCAACTCCAAATTATAATTCAAAGACTGTCTTTTCTGCTTGCCAGCAATTACCTGGCATTTTAGCAGCAATTATTACTATTATCACAGGTACTTGTTGTAGCTAGTAGTTACCTCCTGCTCAAACGTTTTGTATTTCATTAATTTGTATGAAATCAAGTTGACTTTCAGGATAGATGTGAAAGAGAGACAAAGAGTACAGGAGCTGGTGCCCATGCCTGTCATCCTAGGCTCATGACTACAATTCTAACTCTCAGGAGGCTGAGGTCTGAAGATCATGGTTCAAAGCCAGTGCTGGTAGGAAAGTCTTTGAGATTTTTTTGGGGGGGGGTCCGGTCATGGGGCCTGAACTCTGGGCCTGGGCACTGTCCCTCAGCTCTTCAGCTCAAGGCTAGCGCTCTACCATTTGAGCCACAGCGCCACTTCCGGCTTTTTTCTTTTTGCTTATATGGTGCTGAGGAATCGAACCCAGGGCTTTGAGCATGCAAGGCGAGCGCTCTACCACTGAGCCACCTTCCCAGCTCCAGTCTTTGAGATTTTTATCTCCAATTAACCAAGACTCCAGAAGTTGCACTACGGCTCAAGTAGTGGAGCACCAGTCGTTAGTGAAAAAGTTGGTATGTAGCCAACAGGTCCTGA